GGGCAGATTCTGTTTCGCTGCAGAGAAAGTGCACCATTCCAGTGCAGTCCTCTCCAGACGACCCAGAATAGTACCTAGCTTTGTCACCTCTGGACATACAAAGCTGCCCAGGTATGCCTGCATGGCAGTAACCCAATGTGAAACATCCACCTTGGGGTCTTTCCCAGAATACATAGGAGGTGGTGTCAGCTTGGGCTGCCGCTGATCAGATGTACCAGAGGCGGCAGGGGTAGTGGACACATGGGAACCACCAGGTGAAGATGAACGACTGTGAGGTGGTGTAGAGGGCGCTAGTGAAGGTTGGGGAGGTTTAGGAGAAGGGACAGGTAGCTGCAAATGTTGCAGAATGCTGTTCACACTCGTCGTCAGGGACTCAAGGCGTGCTGCCAACTTGTCAACCTTGCGGTCTATGGCAGAACCTTGGGTCTTGAGGGCGAGTATCCTCTGGTCCCAGTTAGAAAAGTAGGACCTGTTGATGGTGTATGTTAAGAGCACCAGTTCAGCAGTATCCTTACTGTACTGACTGGATGTACCACTGATGACAACCTTTTCAACCTCTTTGCGTAGCTGTCTCCTTCTCTCTTCATTTCTACTAGCCTCCTGAGCTTCCTCCATCTCCTTTTTCAACCGCTGGATCTGGGCCTCTGCCTTGAGGCGAGCTTGCTCGGCCTCAAGCAGGGCCTGCTCCAGAGGAGAGAGAGGAACCTGAGGAGGGTTAGTGGAAGTTTCTCCTCCCTCAATCTTTGTTCCAGCGTTAGCCATAATTACACACTCACACAGTCAAATAAATAAAGACAAACAGAGACAAGGTTAGCAGAGATTAAGATTACACTCACACACTGATGTAATCACTGCCACCTAATGAGAAGAGACATGGTGTAAAGGGCAGAAGAGCGCTCAGCCTCTGTAGGCCGCTGAGGGCTGTTCTAGGTCAGTTTAGGGCAATCCCAGATAAAATCAGACTTGCGATTTTTCATTCACAGCCCAGAACCTTCATCTGAGTGCAACAACCCCAGAGTCGCTGTCAGATAGGTAGACAGGATGCAACCTTGGACTGTAAGTAGAAGGTCAGAATAGCGCAGAGAGTCTGTAGCAATCAATAGAACCCAGTAGTCAACCAAGATGTAGCGGATGACCGATCAAGCTATTTTTAGACTCCTACTACTTACATTGGCACTGTAGGACCCTGTATGCCCCACTATGGGTGAGGTGAAGTACATATATCCCTGTATCTGACTCAAAACATCAAATCAAGTATAGCGCTTTCAGGCACTGACTCGTTACTGAATTGCGATTTCAGGGTGACTGACAGACTGAAATTATGACGGACAAAACCTAAGTTATAACAAACCCTAGCTGCCTGAAGCACTGGCTATGGCAGCGCAATACTCAGAATTCCATCATCCCTGACATACAGACCCTGAATTACTCAATTCACTGTGACCCTGAATTACTCAATTCACTATGTATACTCAATCTCAATATTGTAAAACAGTATGAGATGCAATTTGAGACAGAGAGAAGGTCAAACAGAGTCAGTAGAAGTCAAAGTAGATAGGTAGGGGAAATGGCTATGGCTGTCAGGCAGTACGATTTTCAACTTTTACTGTCTACAGACATACAATTTCAATATCCCCAGTCTAATTACAACTATCAGACTCGCCACAGAGACTTGAGTAAGGAACACACTTACTTCAGGTCAAAACACTGGAAGAAGAAGCTGAACTGGCTATGGCTGCCCTCTCGCCAGTTTCTTTAATTCACTGTTCCTGGTGCTCCACGTTCCAAATCTCCTGAAACTTGGTGATACTGGAGTTCTTGATATGGCGATCAACCCCCACTAGTCAGATTCACTGCATCTCGCCCAAAATCTGAAACTCGATATACCCCCAGGTATCTCGCCACTAGCAGAGTCAACGCCTGGGCTAAAAATAGCCCCTCAGCGCCTCCCAGGCTACTGAGCACTGAATCACCACCAATCTCTGTGTCATACCAACCGCCACACACTCTTCACCAACACCCTACTGAGCGCAATCCTGAAGATGCGATTTCAGCATGAAACCTGACGTCAGAAGCTCTCAGGTAGTGATGGCTGCCTCAGTCCATCATCTCACCACTGTCTGGGTCCGATCGGCTCCGATACCAACTGTTATGAACATGATTGTCTGTTGAAATTTTATCAACACTCACTCACAGGCACTCCCGTACACGCCCATACATGCACAGAAGAGGTAGTGGAGTATCACACCGCCCAACAGAACGAAACGCAGTGGAAGACTCAGAGGAGCGAAGTGACAGAAAACACAAACTGTGAATTCTCTCCACGCTGGTCCCAACAATCATTCATAGAAGACAACCGAGTGATCACAACCAGAAATCAATGAAGAGATGACAACTCAAACACAGTGTTACAACTGTTTATTAAACTCAGAGCATCGTTTTCACTGAATAACCTCAGAGCCCTGTTGCGCTACCCTCAGAGGGGTAGCGCCTCAACCCCACCACCTGGAACAGCTAAAAATAGCACCGAAACCCCAGGTAACACCCGACGCCACCCTGACATCCTACTCAGTGGCCTGCGCCAA